TTATGGTCAAAATCAGAATGCCCGCGATTCTAGCTCTTTTTTTTTCATTGATACCCTTCTTCTAAGGGTTCAATCCTCTGCGTATTTAAACGTTTTAGGGTTTTCTTCGTATCTTCTATATACTGCACTGCACTAACTCAGAGCACAGACCCGCCACTTTAAACCGCTATAAATCACTGCTTGTTACACTTTCCTCGTCTCCTTCTGAGAACGAATCTTCTGTGTGTTGGATGCTTTAGGGTTCATTCTGCCATCTTTTTAGACAGTCCCGCCACAATCCAACCACGTCGCAGTTGTAAACAAGCAAATTTGCCTAGCTTAACCGTCTTATAGCTAATTCTATATGGTCTTCTTTCTAAAAAAGATCCACTTTTACCCAAGCATCATTCAAATATTTTAGAGGTTTTACTGATCAGAGCAACTTAAATAAGCCAAATTTAATTGTCTGACATATATTCATTGGCAACACAACTGGTACTTTAAATAACACAGTTCTTTTAAGCAGTTTCAGTCAATGTCTAATCATCAGGCAGACTTAGAATTATTTTAGAAAAAGAAAAAGTCTTACCTTGAATGATTGAGACAAATGCCTGAAGATGCGATCCTGTTGTTCGTGACGCCAAATTGTAGACTTGGAATTAAGCCTTTTCCCCGTTATTATTTAATTCACGGGACCAGACACCAGTTATCTTGCCAAGAAAGATTTTTATTCTTATATGTCAGGAGAGAAACTCTGAGAAGATGTTATATTCATGCCAGGTCTATGCGTTTCGTGTTTCTCCTTCCTCTCACCCAGTCATGCCTCCATGTTTCTCTGCTGTAGTACAGTAAGATTGAGTTTTTATACATCACAGAGAGTCTTACAGCTTCCTTGTAAGGTAACAAAACATATTGCTTATGCTTAAAATGAAATGTATATGCACATGGTACAATCCACTTTCCACATTAAGAAACTATTTCTCAGTGTATACATTAGTGGTATACAAATGGTACATTTGCATCAGTTGAAACATTCATTTTCTTGCAAAGAGCATACCAACTGTACACATTTGAAGTATATTCATCATTGGAACTCTCTGCTAAGTGAACATTACATACCTCTAAGCAGAATACATAATCCTCCCAGCTACCCTCCTTGTGTCTAAAATATGTTCCTTAAACACATGTGTCCATGCAATCTATAGTCTACTCATGCATTTTAAACTTCATAAGATAATACAACTTATTATGAATACTAAATAAAGAATAATAATACAGATACATAATATTAAATAATGAAATTATATTCAAAGATGAAATTTTAGTCTTCAGGGTATAATAGATGGTACTAATCTCTGGGAGAGTGGTCCCAATGATTTTACCCGCTGTATTTACCACTCGTTGGAGTGCCTGCTGATGGGCCTTAGTGCAGCTGGAATACCACACTAAGAAGCCATATGTCAGAACACTGCTGATGGCACAGTTATAGAAGTTAACCATCAGCTGTTTTGGAATCCTGGCACTCCTCAGTTGCCTCAGGTAGTAGAGGCGTTGCTGGGCCTTCCCTATCACTGAGGTGATGTTGGTTCCCCAGGACAGGTCCTCGGTCACAGATACTCCCAATAATTTGAAATATGGCACCCTCTCTACCACCTCATTGCCAATATAGAGAGGAGAATGATTGGGTCTGCTTTTGCGGAAGTCCACAATAATCTCCTTAGTCTTTTTGATGTTCAAAGACAGGTTATTATTGACATACCATGACGCTAGATGTTGCACTTCAGTCCGGTAATCCGCCTCATTGTTGTTTTTAATGAGTCCGAGCACTGTTGTGTCGTCGGCAAATTTAACAATGAGATTGGAACAAAGAGAAGCAGAGCAGTCATGTGTAAATAGAGTGTAGAGCAAGGGGCTAAGCACACACCCTTGGGGGGCCCCGGTGTTGATTGATAGGGTGGAGGACAGGTGCTTGCCTACTCTAACACTCTGTGTTCGATTTGTCAAAAAATCCACAATCCAATTGCACAGCGAGTTGTTAAAGCCAAGGTGGTGCAGTTTGGTTCGGAGTTTAAACGGCCGGATTGTATTAAAGGCCGAGCTGAAGTCGACAAAGAGGAGTCTCGCGTAGGTGTTCTTGTGCTCGAGATGTTCCAATAGCATATGGAGCACGATGGCGATGGCATCCTCAGTCGACCGATTCCGTGTGATGATGGTATTGCGCTTTTAATGTGAGTGGAGACCAGCCTCTCAAGACACTTGGCCTGAATGGAGGTGAGTGCCACCGGTCTGTAGTCATTTAGATAAGTAGCATTTGACTGCTTGGGGACTGGGACTATTGTGGCTGCCTTAAAGCAGGCAGGGACCCATGAAGTGGACAGCGATGTATTGTAAATGACTGTAAAAACGTCAGTTAGCTCCGCAGCACAGTCTCTCAGCACTCGGCCCAGCACACCGTCCGGTCCGGCTGCCTTCCTGGTGTTGATGCCGCAGAGGACCCGTCTTACCTCATGAGTGCTCAGGACTGGGGCAGGATCAGTGGAGGGTAGGGGGGGCGACACAGGATCTGTGTTGTCCCTGTCATAACGGGCATAAAAGAAGTTAAAATCCTCAGCCAAGATGGAATCAGCTGAGGGAGATGTTGATTTGCTCTTATAATCCGTGATGGCCCTCCAATACCTGCCTGGGGTTTGCAGAGTTATTAAAACAGGCTTCAATACGCCTCCGGTGTTGTTGTTTGGCAGTATTGATTCCTTTCCTTAATGCAGCCCTGGCTCTGCTGTATAAATCATGGTCCCTAGAACCCAGCGCTCTATTCCTAGCTCGGATCAGTTGTTCAACTCCGTGTGTAATCCAAGGTTTCCTGTTAAGATACACACGGAAATGTTTCCAAGACGTAACATTATCCACACTCAGTTAATGTAAGTCAGGACAGTGGTGGTATATTCATCCAATGACTCACGAGTATCCGTGCCCTGCCCCTTGAAAACATCCCATTCTGTGTGGTGGAAACAATCCCGTAACATAGGGATGGTGTCCTCTGGCCACATTCTCACGGTCTTGGTTGTAATCCCAGCGCTCTTGATCTTGGGTGTATACCGTGAGTGTAGCAGCAGAGAGAGATGGTCTGACAGACCCAGGTGGGGGTAGGCCTGGGCCCTGTATGCTTCTGCTACATTAGTATACACCTGGTCTAGCGTTTTATCTCCCCTAGTAGCACATTTCACATTGCGATGAAATTTGTGAAGAACAGTTTTTAAGTCAGCATGGTTAAAATCCCCAGCGGCGACAAAAACACTGTCCGGGTGTGCTACCAAGCTGTTATTTATGCTGTTGTAAACCTGTGCAAGCGCTAGCTTAGCATTAGCGTCCGGTGGAATGTAAACAGCACAGATGTAAACAGCAGTGAATTCCCTCGGGAGATGAAACGGCCTGCACTTCAGCAGCATAAGTTCCACCTCCGGACTGCACAGTCTATTCATGACGGTGACATTTGTGCACCAAGAATTGTTAATGTAGATATAAAGTCCCCCGCCGATCTTCTTACCAGAGTCCGCGGTCCTGTCGGCTCGGTAGGTGGTGCGTCCCGCTAGCTCGATAGCAGCGTCCGGAGTGGTGCTGTTCAGCCAGGTTTCAGTGAAAATCATGCAGCAACAGTTGTAAATAGTCCTCTTTGCTGCTATATGTAACCGGATCTCATCCATCTTGCTACGGATCGACCGGGCGTTTGAGAGAAAGATTGTAGGAAGCGGTGGTTTGAACGGATTAGCCTTCAGCCTAGTCCATACGCCAGCCCGCTTGCCCCTCTTCTGCCGCCGCTCACAGCCCCTCCTTCGTCGGCCTGCTCCTGCGGGGAGCCCGGTAGATGGTCTGGTGATCTCAAGAGGAATGAAGTGCTTGGGCTAACAGGTGGTGTACTCCAGTACTCAGGTTCAAGAGTTCAGAGCGGCTGTACTGAAGTGCCGCTGTACTCAAAATGTGCGACGTAATACATAGTACCACCAAAAAAGTGAAAAAACCATGCCCATTGTAGGAGCTCCTGGCCGCTGCGACTGTGCGCGCCGCCATTGTGGACAACACATATTGTCTATTGATTGTTGATTTTTTTTTTTGCGTTATCAATACCAAAATATATGCTAACATCACTGATACACATTGTGAGAGCCCAACAAGGCCTCGAAAAAAAAGATTTTGCCAAACAAATGCATGATGGAGACTTAGATATTGCCTTTTCTGGTTTAATTTGGAATGTAACCTTTAAAACAGCTGTGTGTGTATTTATGTATGTATCTTATTATTTTCCAATGCAGTATGTTATGTGTTCTATGTTTAAACGTTGAATTGCAGATAACTTAATGATCGCTTTAGGACACTCCTACTGGCTGTGCTGGTTCTTAAATGCTTCTCACCCACACCCAAGAAAATGTTTGTATCATATTGCCAAATTTTCGAAGAGTCTCTTTGATAATTCTGCCCAATCGGATGGAGCTGTAACCAGTGTGCATGAGGTGTCGACCCAAAGACGGGTAAGATTCTCCGATGGCCAGAGGGGGACAACCTAAGCCAGGGCTTCACCGCCACTGGGCACCAGCCCACCAGGGAAGGGAGGTGTAATCTGTGAGAAGGGAGTGGATGTGATGCTTCTTTTGGGCCAAAAGCATCAGAGAGGGGACTGTAAGAAATTGTAGTCTGCCTCGACCCAGATTCCACTCCCAAATATATTTTAGAATGAGCTCATCCCCAAAATCGCTTAATTATCATAGAGATGAATGAAGTGAAGTTATATTGTTTCTTCACCATTTGGGTTGATCACATCATGAGCAAATTGTAGTCAATTTTAGAATGGGAATGGGTGTGAGACACAGAGAACCTCCTCAGACAATGGGATGTCTCAACTTCATTAACATACAGAACATGCTGTTACAACAAGAGCAACTTCATTTCCATCAGCAGCTGCAGTTTCTCTCAGCTGTATCAGTGCAGTCACTGTGACGTCTGACTGACAGAGGTTTTTGTACGACTCTTTATCACTGTGTGAACACCCACTGACTTGGAATGTGTAAACTCTGACAGTAATAATCTCCTGTATCTTCAGTCTGGACTCCACTGATGGTCAGAGTAAAATCACTGCCAGATCCACTGCCACTGAATCTAGAGTGAGTTCCAGTATAAAGGGTTGATGTCAGATATATGAGGAGTTTAGGAGCTTCTCCAGGTTTCTGTGAGTACCAGTGTAAATAACTACCACCATGCACATCACTGCTGGTTTTACAGTTTATTCTGACTTCTTCTCCTGGTTGAACTGCTGATATTGATGGACTCTGAGTTACAGTATACTGTCCTCTACACTCTGAAAGAAAACACAAATTTAAATTATATATATGATGATATACAGTATATGATAAATATATATATATTACATTCTAAGAGAATTAATATTTATTGTAAAAACTGTATTACACAAACCTTGAATAAACAGTGCAATGGTCCAGATGAAGATGATGATGTTGTTCATAGTTGTAGTTTAGTCTTGTGTGATGATGAAGAGTGTGTTGTGTTCTGCTCTCAGTCATGAAGTGTTAAACTCACAGCACTATAAACACTCTCAGAGCACTGAAGCATGTGCTGACAATGCAAAGAAGTGGGCAGGATTTACAACAGCTTGTGCTGAGAACAAACTCATATACACTAGAGTTACACAATCATGACTTTATTTAGTATGTTTATTGTGACTCCTGAGACACTGAGGATGTGCAGATGAACGTCCATCTCTGTGTCCATATTCAGTCATGTGACCATCATCACTGCTACACTTCCACTAGATGAAGCGCCATCACTAAAGTAAGATCATGAATCATGAGTGTGTTCAGAAAGTATCAGGACTGATTGTGAATCTCTAATCAGAGTTCATGGTGTCACTCCATCTATCATGAAGCCTCATGTGTGTCTGAAATCATCAGATGGAGAAGAAACAGGCTGTTAAAGATGGACACATATTAGAGCTTGTTCACGTTTCATGATCTTGTGTGGAGATTCAGAACCAGTCCAGATACTTTTATAACACACCTTGAATATGAAAACATGCTTGACTGTGTAGAACATGCAAAACACCTTTTATATCTTCATTGTCACACTTTCTATTGACTTTGGCTATAATATTCAATAAAGTCATTATTTGAACAGATTCTCACTGAAGATTGAAGTGTGAAGCTGCAGGTTTTTCTGTGAATCATGATGATTGATCTGCATATGAAGAACAGAAGCATCATTATGAGAAACTCCACAACATCATCCATGATCAAAGAGGTCAAAGGTCACCTCAGAGGTCACAGCTCATCACATATATTTCTTTAAACAGTGTTATATCAGAAAGCATTTAGTCAAATCTGAATGAGTGAGTGTTGAGAAGAGCTGAGGATCTTCTAATATCAGTGTGTTGAAGTGTTGTTTCTCTCTCTCTGCTGGAGTGTGTGTTCACTCGAGTGGAATAGAGGTTTTTGTACGAGCGTTTCATTAGATTGTATCACTGTGGTGGACATTCGGTGGAGGAACTAAACTGGTGATCGGTAAGTCTGTCGATTTAATCACCTAATAAAAAATACAATTTAGATTTCAGAAAGTGTTTTACAGTTGAAACAAGAACAACATTTTTTAATAATAATGATTATTAGATATTGTGGTAAAACTTTACTTGAAGACTTTATGTATAATGCATTATAAAAGTATCAATAATGTAGATTATAATGCTTTATATCTTTTCACAAATTATTGTAACCAAAATTAAAATGCATTATACTATTGGCAAATTCTTTGTTTCATCTGAAATTGGTTGTTTGTCATGAGTTTTTAAGTATTATTATTTCTTAAGGTGTAACAATGAATAGATAATATTATAATGTGTTATAACTGTGGTTACAATTATTGATGAGATCATACATGAATTATAATGTGAAAAACAATATATAATTAATGCATTAAAAATACCTTTATAATGCAAAATGTATAAAGGCTTTCATTAAAGTGTTACTAATATTTTTTTATAATTTAATCTAAAACCATGATATTATTATAAGAATAGCATTATTACTTTCAACAAATGTAAAAAAAAAAAAAAACGAGATAAAATTCTTAACATATGTCCATAATGTGTCTCTGAATTTATAAACATATTTCCATAATGAGTTTAATCAGTTTATTACAGGTTTGTTTTTCCTTCATTTATTTCTACACTGAGTTCATATTTAGTTCATCTTTTATTGTAGAAATCACACATGTAAAAAGAGATTTGACATCAGAATGTAAATGTTGCTACTTTCTGTAGTTCAGTCAATGATACTGAATCTCTTTTGCTCATGTTGTGCTTATAATTCAGTGATTTATAATATAAGCAAGATTTATACAAAATATAGGCATGTTTAGAAATGTTTATTCAGTGTTTTTATTCAGTTTGAAATTTAGTTTTAGAATATCCAAGTAAATGTAACTTTATTTTGGGATAAAATATTTTATAATTGTGATTTCTGAGGTTTGATATAAATGCATATAGTGATTGTGTAGTTTGTATATTGTATATATATATATATATATATATATATATATATATATATATTGACTGTAGTGAAGCTGAATGGCATGAAGGATCAGATGCTGGAGATTTGTCCTGCATTTCTCATGTCTGCTGCTTCAGTCCTGTTGAAATGCTGTGAATGTGCAGTGCAGTGTGTTGTGTGTGTGTTTGTGAATGTGTTGTGTTTGTCTCCTGCAGCTGGTCCCACAGTGAAGCCCTCAGTGTCTCTGCTGCCGCCCTCTTCTCTGCAGATCTCTGGAGACTCAGCCGCACTGCTCTGCCTGCTCAGCTCTTACTCTCCACAGGGGGCGCTGGTGAGCTGGACACTGGACGGGTCAGAGGTCACCGAGGGGGTTCTGACCAGCGCAGAGAGCCAGCAGGACGGCCGCTACAGCCGCAGTAGCGTCCTGACCCTCAGCAAAGCACGCTGGGAAGAGGGAGAGCTGTACGTCTGCAGAGTAACACATGATGGAGCTCCTCATGAGGTCTCGTTCCACAAGAGCTCTGAGTGCTGATGTTTCTCTCCTGAAGATGAGCCGTATCTGAGTGTCCTGTGTCAGGCAGGATTCACATGAGTCTAGTGCTGCAGCTGTAGTGCTTTACAACTCCATACTGAAAGAGTGTGTGTGTGTGTGTGTGTGTGTGTGTGTGTGTGTGTGTGTGTGTGTGTGTGTGATCTTTCAATCTGCTGTGTTTGCTGCAACATTCAATAAAGCTTCTCAACAAGTTCACTTTGTGTCTGACAACATCATTCAACTAACAGATGAAGATGCAGGAGCTTTTCAGAAGGTTGATGTCGCAGTAAATGTCAAATAAAGCTCTTGGGGTTTGAACATGGTCTCTGGAGACAGAGCTGCTCTATTCTGAGAGATCACAATCACTCCACCCTGACAATGCAAATGGGCTTTTCAGTCTCACTCTCTGATTGGTTACATGATCTGGACTGGAACACAACAGTTTCACTTCTGCTTTAGTGAAGCAGCGCAGACAAACGGATCATTACATTTATAGGAGATTACAAACTTTATTATATAAAAATATCATAAACAAGATCAAGAATTAGCCGTTCTGACACTAATTGTTACATAATCATTACATTTATAGGCGATGATGTAAATATACTGTATATGAAAATGTTATTAAAAATATAATACATGATCATAAATCAAGAATCAGCCGTTGTGACAGTAATTGTGTAAGAATGTAAAAGTTTCTATAAATATCAAGTTCAGTCCTGAAACTCTAGATCAGTGGTTCCCCAACTGTACACATCATGAAAATGACAAACTGATTATTACATTAATTTATGAGATAACTAATTTATTAACATGGCACCATAAATCATATAAAAACATGATCACAAATCAAGAATGTAAAAGTTTCTGTGGCTCAAATGGAAAGCATCTCGTCCAGACAGCAGAAGTGACTGAATGCAGTGTGTTCAGTTTGATTGACAGGATCATATATTACACCTAAAACATGATGATCATATTAAAACACTGACACATTCTCTTCATAAACACAAGATTGATGTTGATTGTAATGATATAGTGTTATTAGTGTTTGGAAATACAATCATAAATCATTCAATCATAAATCACATTTGCTCTGCTGATCCTGTAGCCAATGAGATTGCTTGCTCAACATTTAAATAGATTTAAATCTAATCTAAAAACTGATGTTAAAGGCACACCGCAGAGCTTTTGGCCACTAGTGGCACTCGACCTGTAACTTTCACGTCTAGCGTCCCTAGAGGCCACAAGCTCCGCAGCACTGTCGCAAAAGCCTCTGTGTCTATAAAGTGCAGACAGTAATTGACTTGTTGGTTGGAGAGAGATAATTGACTCACTATTGAAGAAAAGAATAATAAAAATAAGATGAATAATATAAATTATATAAACAAAATAAATTGAACAAAAGTAAACAGAAAACAATGCCTGATCAGGTAAGTCGCATCATAGACAAGGGGAGCCCAATCCTGCTCCTGCCGATCGTCTGTCCTGCACAGTTCATCTCCAACCCTAATATACTTTAATGTCACATAAACATACTGCCGTTATTTGTAGGCTTCAGTTTGTTTGTCCTTTTACACACATACACACATATATGAGCTGAAGCCTAAAAATAACAGCAGTATGTTTATGTGACATTAAAGTATATTAGGGTTGGAGATGAACTGTGCAGGACAGACGATCGGCAGGAGCAGGATTGGGCTCCCCTTGTCAAATAGAGGCCGGGTCTGTTTTTTAGTTTCGGGTTGCATTTAACCTTCTAAAACCCGTCAGATCGTCCGCTTTTTGGTGGCCGAAAAAGCAAATTTGTGTCCCACCAAAGCCTATTTTGATCGGCGATGTCTTCAAACAACACGAGCGCTGTCTTGCTCTCTCTCCCTCGCGCATATTAATCAAAATCAATTGACACGATAGTAAAAGGTCGGAAGACAGCAGTTTCACGTGGAGCATTTGAAGATTTTTAGAGATAGGTCTCTAGGTTTACACTCAATGAACAACATCTCAACACTAAATTATAAAGGCCGGTCTCATATAGACGCCTGTCTCAAATACAAGCCGGTGCAGTTCGACGATTTGGGAAAATAAAAGCCCGGGCTATTATTTGAAGTTTTACGGTCTATCAGTTTTGTTACACGATTTCCCGACTTTGCAGTAAATATTACATTATATATACACTTTTGTGCCGATGTTTATGTTCTATTTTCAGTCATCATTTTCTTCGCCGTTTGAATAATCTTCAGAGTCCCCTCCCGAAACGTGGAGAGGACGAGGAGGACGCGGAGGACAACGAGGGAGTGCCAGGGATAAATGGAGGACCAGATAGATTCCGTAACATGGCCAGGCAGACAACAAATTCGAAAAAAAAAGAGATAGTGTGCAAGCAATATATTTAACTTACTAGTCCAAAACTTGCTTACGGCCAGGTCAGCATCGGTCGGGCACCCCTCCTCCTCCTTTAGCTCATGTCAGCGAGC